CACACAACATCACAGAGAGACCTATCTTAAGAAGGGAAGTCACCTGTCATGGCTATCTGGTGAGTCTCCACAGTCTTCCAGTCATCTGTCAGCCTCTACTGAGTAATATTTGGCAACATAGACAAAAGATGAAATCCTGGCCCTCCAGAATATACAGATTTCAGATATGACTTGTCTAACACCTGTGACCCTATGTGAAGAAACAAGTCTAGAAGGAAAGGTTATAAAAATCTACCCTTGCCCTAGCTGGTGTGGCTCAGTGGATTGAGCGCTGGCCTCTGAACCAAAGGGTCGCCGGTTTGATTCCCAGTCAGGACACATGCCTGGGTTGCAGGCCAGGTCTCCAGTAAGCAGTGTGCAAGAGGCAACCACACACTGATGTTTCTCTCCCTCTCTTTCTCCTTCCCTTCCGCTCTAAAAGTAAATAAAATCTTAAAAAAAAAAAAAATCCACCCCTGCTCTCACCCTCCTGATCCCAACCTGGGTTTTAATATCTGTGGCCACAGCAAGAAGTTCCCAAGAAGTCAACTCCTCCTTTGCCCCACATTCTTCCTCTACTCCATATGCCAGTGCTGCTAGAAAAATGGTAAAAACGATTTTTGGGGTGTACCCAGATGATGGAATTAGAAATACTCACATCTAAGCTTATTAGCAATCACCCTGATTCTAGTTCAGGCCTGATTCTCTAATAAAGTAGCCAGAGCCTGCCAGTTGCTAAGCTTCCCATCACCTTCTGATTCAGACAAGGTTCCTGGGGTGTAGTTATCTTTATTCAGCCCAAAGCCCTCTTAAATTATTCTTTTAAGTCAGGGTTAATAGCTTGGATGGGACAGAGTCTCCAGGGATCTCCAGGGCTGGACAAATAGGGTTTTAGCCAGCTTGATAGTCTCAGACATGGCATCTGCCTGCTGGCTCTGTGGCTCTGTTGGCGGAGGGCTCAAAGAAGAGATAATGGCTTCTGCCTGCCTTTCTGTCTGAGAGAAAGCTGTCCCCCAGCTCCTGCCTTGATGCCAGACACTTCAGTTCCTCCCTGTATGCCACTGGTGCCTTTCAAGCTGCTACCCTGGTGCTGGAGCTCAGAGGGAGGGAGTCTCCGTAAGTTCATGTGTGGGTTCTTTAAGGGGAACTGCTTGAGACTCCAGAAGTCTCTTCCACTGACTCAATCCCTGCTGGTTTTTACAGCTAGAAGTTATGAGGACTTACATTCCTGGAACAGGAACGCTGGCCTGGGAAGCCTAATGCGGGGCTGGGACTCCTCACTCCTCAGATATCCCTCCTGAATTTTTATCCACCACATGTGGAGGATGTAGGACCAGCCTGTTCCACGTCTGCACCCCTCGGACCAGACTGGATGGATGTGGTTTCTTTAATTCCGTATTTGTCAGACCTCCATTCAACTAAATTGCTGATGGTTCTGAGTCTCATCTAGCCCATTTTAAGAAGAGTGTTACCCTTGGGAAACAAAGGGAGATGGTGCTCCTTGGCCTAGAGTCTACTGACACCCATGCATTATATGAAGCTTCTTCATGTTCCTCTTCCCTTATGCTTTACAGGAACCATACTGAGTTACATATCTCAGAGACTTGCTTTGAAATGTGTGGATTATTTATCATGTTACGTTGTTATAAGAACTTTTGAACTAACAAATGAAAGAGAAGCCTGCATATACATATATTTTAACCTTATTTTTATATCCCACTGCCTGTTAATTTTCTAAACATCTGGACCAGGCAGGCTGTTTGATTCATTCCTTGGTTACAAAGTCATTTTCACACTTTCACCTCCCAAAACTATTTTGTCCCTTTTTTTCATTAAGTGAAAATCTGTCCTGATCTCAGCATAATTTGGATTTCTCTCAAAGTACCACTGATGATTTCCCTCCTGGGTATTCCTCAATCCCATCTCTACTTCCAACAGTTTCGCTACTGAGACCCTGAAGGTAGGGACATGGGTTTTAGATAAACTGGCAGTGTCTGGTTTAAGCTCAATTTATGGCAGTAAAATTAAAGACAGAAAAAAACACATTGTGGCAGATAATCCTAAAATGGTCCCATAATCTCTTCCTCCTAGAGTTCAGGCCTTTGTGTAATACCTCCCACTGAATGTGGGTGGGACCTGTGACTTGCCTTTACCAATGGAATACAGCAAAGGATATGAGATGTATGTGATTGCATGTATATAACTATGTTAGATAAAACTGTAATGTGTCTTGTGAGAAAGCACTCTCCCTTGATTGCCCTGATGAAACAAAAGACAATGGTGGGGAGGCCCACATGGCAAGGAAATGAAGGCAGCCTCTAGCTGACAGCCAGCAAGAACTGAATGCTGCCAACAAACATAAGAGCTCAGAAGTGAATTCTTCCCTCATTGAGCCTCAGATGAGATGGCAGCCCTAGGTAGCACCTCTATTGCAAACTGGTAAGAGTCTAAAACAAAGAACTCTGCTAAGCTGTACCCAGTTGCTGACCCACACAAACTACATGATAATAAATGTGTGTTGTTTTAAGTCACATTTGTGATAATATTGCTATGTAGCAATAGATAATTAATCCGACAAAAAAAAAAACATGCAAGAAAGAGAAAAGCAGCCTCTGATATCTGAGAACTAACTTTAGCAAGGCCTTGATGTTGATTGAGCTGTTCTGTACTTATACTAGGCCTTGGTGTTAACCACAAACAATTCCAAAAAATATCAACACCAGACAAGGTCATAAAGACAGAAGCAAAAATTATGGCCATTCTGTAATCATGTCTGAACATGAACAAAAACCTGAACATTGATCAAATCCCTCAAATGACCAAACATCCCCCTATATTGGCTAATATAAGTACACAGCTTTAACCTTGATTCACTCCCCATTGTGTATATATATGAGATTTACTTAGATGTCCATTCGTTGAATTGCCCTTCTTTAAAGCATCCAACACAGAGTAAAGTGTTACACTCTTGAACTTTCACCCAATGACCTAAAACAAGCCTAAATCCTATAACAAGTCTTTTCTACTGCTTCCTTATTGAGATGCTGCATGGTTCCCCACTGCTGTGTGATCTTCCCATAGAACCAGCGATAAACTCAACTTGTTCAACTAGAGGTGTGTCCCTAGTGGTCTTTGGCCCTTCATTACTGATAGTATTTTATACTGTTACAACTTATTTATAAGGCAACACAGAGGAGTCATTACCCAAACATCAACTCCTAGGAAACGTTTTAGCAGAAAATACCTGCTCAGGCTTTACAACAGTATTATCTACAATGGCAAACAGAAACAACCTAAAAGTCTAACAATAGGAAAATGTTTAATGAATTGTGTTGCATCAACACGTGGCTTACCTAGTATTCACATAATCATGAAGGCTAAACCAGAAAATGTTTAGGGTCTGATTTGACAAAAAAAACCTGCAGACTATAAAAATGCAAATAAAGGTTACTCATTAGCTGAACAGCTATAATGTGTCAGGCACTATTTTAGGCATTTTGATCAGTTCATTTAATCTTCATAATACCCTGCCAGGAAAGTAATATTATTTGTTTTTCAGAAGAAGATACTAAGGGCAAGGAGAGGTCAAATAAATTGGCCCTCATCACATAGTTGGGAGTAGAGGAGACAAATATGAAATGAAATATGACCCCAAATGCTATGTTTTTAACTACACTGTTCTACCTCTTTTAGAAATATATGACGATTGCAACTAGGTATAACTATGGTATCACAAACACTAGAAGATAATATGCAAATGTGAAATAACTGTGATATGGGATTACGATTAAAGGCAATTTAATTTTAAAAATCATCATCTTTCATGCTATATGATCTACTCAATGCAAACAACACAGATAATCGAGCAATGAACTCTTGACCTCCAATTCTCTCTGAGAAATTAAATTACCCTGCCAGGCAGGGTATGTCTTTGGAAAAAGAGCTGTCCAAAACTACTTGTAATTTTACTTTTTTCTGGCCTTCTAAGCAAGACAGTGAGTAACCTGCTTTTGACTGTCTGAGGGAGAGGTTCTGTTGTCCCCATTCCCCAAGTCAATGTTTCTTAACATGGGTTTTCTAATCCAACTTTCATAGAATCCAAAGTGTCCTCTATTTCAATTTACGACAAAGGGAAGGTAACAGTGGTCAGAATGCCTTCTGAGGTTTGCCCAGAAAAGGGTTTAAGTTATCCTAAAAGTACACGACTACATCTTCACATCTTTTGAGGTTTTTATTTGGGAGATGACCACCTGCTGTGACATCCCCTCCCAATTACATCATTGCATAATCATTTCAGAAGACTGTTGCACAGGGGTCAAAGCAGAGCTCATTTTTTGACAAGGCTTCTGAGGCAGGGAAAGCAAAGCTGGATGCTTCAAAAGACATGAACATTTTAAGGGGGGCAGAATGAGTATGGTGAAGAAAGGATGTGAAACAATGCCTTGTAAATTTGATTTTACTGATACTACATCTCAGCCACACCAGAATTAGTTATGTGCAAAATGATTAATCACTGTCTCCATGAGATATTCAAGGTCCTGCTGCCTATTCTCAGCATAAAAAATATATAACACTGAAATATGACTTTCAGGCTTGTGTTCATTCTATACCCTTTAAATAAAGTGGAACAAAAAAATTTGCCTTGGCCTTGGCTGAGTTATGTGGTTTATCTCCTAAGTGGCAAAGCTTCATTCCTCAGCCCAATCACCAAACCAGGCCCAAGTCATAAGAAGCCTAGTAGAGAAGGAAAAATGCCTGTGCTGTATCTCAGACATCGATTTATCAGATGCGATAATTGTTCTGAGAGACAGGTTCTCTCTTTATGTTTATAGAAAAATAGGCACTGAAAAGAAAATTAATTTAGTTAATGGGCAAATGCTGATGGCTTTGTGAGACATATGATTTTTGATAAGTGTAGCTGATGAATTACAACCTGCCTCTGCTAGAGGAGGATGTAGAGAAAAAGGACAAATCTTTGGGGTGTTACCTGAGGCAAAGACTCCAGCTGAGCCCCCACGTACCTTCTCGGCATACTCAGACACAATCTGCTTGATCTCAGCGGAGCAGAGTCCCACAATCTGGCCCATGGAGCTTGCGGTGAGACGGCTCTGCAATCACAGGGAGGGTGTGTTCTCAAGGCCATGCCTTGTCTTTGACAGAACTGGAAAACCTAACACTCTGAATACTACAACAAAATAGATAATATTCCCAGGGGAGAAAATAATTTGGCTTTTGTTTATGTATTCATCAACAAGAAAGGGAGAAAACAAGCTTCAGGACAAATCTGAAGCCACCTTCTCCACTTCCTGAGGCACTCGGCTCACTGCCAGATTCTCTTGGGATCCCAGGTACCACTGGAAAATCATTCTTCATCCTTTATACTCCATCCCAAGGTCTCTCTTCCTAAAAGGTCACTACACAGAGCCTGTTGGGAACTTTGCAGCCTTAGGACCCAGGGAAAAAGGAAGGTCAAATGGGAGATAAAGAAGAATCTCAGAACTCCTAAAATATCTCTACCACAGGCCCTTCCTGCCCTCCAAAGAAATGATCCTTTCAAAGTCCTTGGTAAAACCTCCTGGAAAGCCCTTGACTTCTGAGAAGACCAACTCTAAATTTGGTATTCTATTTTCTACTTAGATGGTAGGAAGGAAGCAGAAGACAACGGTTCCTTTGGCATGGGATGTAACTCATGGTCGTGAAGGAGGAGAACTGAACCATGGCTCTTCCACTGAGGCCCATATGGTGCTATCCCAGCAGGGACATCCTGCCTGCACAAGGGTTCCTCAAGTCTTCCTCCTAGAGGTTAACATGGATGGCAACACTATGAAAAGCTTCCCAAAAGAAAGAGCCCTAGGAAGCAGGAAACACTGAGTGCTGAAAAGACAGGGCTCTGAAGAAGGTGGTCCCTCCCTCTGGGAAGAGGTCCCACAGAGCCAAGCAGGCTGGTTCCAAGTCCCCATCTCCACACCACACCCTCCCCCACAACCACTCCCATCTCACCTCTTCATTTGCCATGGCAGTCATCTTGGTCATCAGTGACTGAATACGCTGCTAAGAGAGGAATACAGAGAAGTAGCAGTGAGTGGATCTGACCACCTAAGACTAACACAGTATGCCTAAATAGGACATTGTTTTACTTGATTTCATTTTATGGTGAGTCTTGTGAGAGGTGATAAAAGGAAACTGGAAAGGGTGTGAAAGGTCAACTAACAGCAGCTGGCTGAGGGAAGCACCTGGCCATTCTGGAAAGCTGGGGATGAAAGTGAAATTTCTCCCCAAATGGTTAAGCAGAACCTTCAGAGGACCTCCGTGGGCCACACACCTCTTCAGCAGCTTGAAGCTCATCTTCCTCATGAGCATCAGCTTTTTCTGCAGCCAAGAGCCCTGCGGGAAGTGCTGTTTTCTTGTCTTCAGCCTAGAAGGCAAGATGCAAAATCAGCTGAGCATCGAGTTGGAGACTCAGTAGAGAAAGGACAATATTGCAAAGAGGCATGAGTCTGTGAGAAAAAACACACAGATCTGGAGGGCAGAATCAATCCCTGCAAAAGAATGGAGAATCCAGAGACCTGAGTTTCCATTCCAACAGCAGAGCAAGCATATTGAGCTTCAGACCCCAGCCACTGCCTGTCTCCATTACTAAACTGCTTGCCGATTAAATCCCTATGAAATCATTCACATTTGCCAGACTTATCCTTAAATTTTGATAGGGTCTTTCCCTTACTTTAATGCTTTCAAGAATAGATCAATGTCCAAAGGAGTGCTTTTCAAAACTGCCAGTTGAGACCTATTAGTGGGACATGAAAATAATTTAGGTAGAACGAGCATCTAAACAGATTAAATAAAAATAATAAAGAAGGCACATATCAGAGTGCTTTGCAGGCAGTTAAGGGTTAAGTACTGCTTTATGAAACTTCAAGTCAATAAAGTTTGAAAGACACTGGCCTAAAGGATAAAAATCTAAACTGCTTCACCTGGTGATCAAGCTCCATATTCTGTATCCAGTCTCAGGCTCTAAATGTACCACACCACACTTAAGATATATGAATTAAGTATGGTTACTCAAATGTGGGCTGGGAGTCTTCAGTTCTTGGTTTTAATTCTACCTCTGCCATCAATCAGCTAAGTGACCTCAGGCTTAACTTCTCTGGATATTAGGGTCTTCTAGGGTTGAAAGGGAGGCCTGGTCTCAAATACCCTTCTCAGACAATCCTAATTCTGGAATGCTTTTCTATAACAAGTCTACAACTGTCCCTGGGGAATACCCTAGCTCCCAACTGCTGCGTGTATCTATAGGGAACAAGACTTCCAGTGTAAATGTGCCATCTGACATAAGAATGAGAAGATGAGCCTGATGTGAATACTCTTTCATGGGCATTTCATGATTTTCCCATCATAATCAACCTGCCTTATTCCAGGATATAGTCATATGCATAAACATTCCTGTCAGACTGAACTTAGACATCAAATTAAATGTATGCATCAAATTCTTACATATCAGATGTCACATGACATACTGAAATCCAAAATATGCCTTGTTTTGAAGGAAATGCCAGTTTAGTTGAGTGGAAACACAAATGTGGAAAAAAATAAATAACAAGAAAACCAAAAAAAGATATAATTAGCACATGACTAATTGCTAATGAAATAATAATAACTACATGTTTAAAATGTATGGACCATTCTGTGTGCTTTGTATTTTAATCTTCACAACAATGTTGCAAGGTAGTACAATTATTGCCCCCATTTTATAGATGTTGTGAAGGCACAACAATTAAGCATATTATCCAAAGTCATACAGAGAAGGGATAAGGTTAGGATTTGAAACCAGCAAGTCCAGCTTTAGAACACACACTTTAATCACTGTCAGGGCCCTCCGATGACTGAGACAACTACCCCAGGAAGCAGAAGGAGGCTAGAATCAGGGAAGGTCTCCAGAAAGAAAATGTGAAGGATGTGGAACCTAGATAGAGGGAAGGGTGGCAAGAGAACAAGAGGAGGAGTGGTGTTCCATTATAGAAAATCTGGGGGTCAGGTGAGGAATGAGAAAAAAGATTAATAGACCTCACTCTGCAGAACTCTATTGTTTAAGAGTTCATTGACTATTTTAGTTAGCACTTTATTATTTTAAAGGCAGAGGTTAAGAGTGCATACTTGATGTCACACGGACCTGGATTCAGATTCTTAATATGGCACTTAAGAAGCTGCGTGATCTTGGACAAATCACTGAGCTTCTCTGGGCCTCACCTTTCTAACCTGAAATACAGGAATAAGCATGTCCCTCATAAAGCTGTTCAGAGGAGTAAGTGAAAAAATACATGTGGAACTCTGAACAAAGGGCCTGGAGCACAGTAAAGGTCTGGCACTGTAAGATTATATGCATGCCCTGCTTCTGACATTAAGGATCATTAATAAACACATAAATGAAGAAAAATCTTCAAGACTAATTTGTGAAGTTAGAAAAATCTACCTTGACTTATTTGATTTTTTCCACACTAGCTATCCTAGTACAGGGGCAGGCCTGTAATTTATGGTTGTGTTTTATTTCACTGCCAGTATCCTGTTTGCACCTGTCCGTGGTCTCTCTCACTCAATGAGGAATGCACAGGGTCTTGGCAGTGGACTTCACCTTCACACTTTTAGAATTATTAGAGCTCACAGGATTGAGCCAGGAGCCATGACATCTAATCACCCTTCACTTCCAGTCCCAGATGAGGTTGCTGCTTCAGCTCCCCCAGCCTGGCGAAGGACATCTTCATGGCGCTGGGTGGCCCAAGGACCAGAGCCTGGTTGGCAGTAGCCCTGCCTTCCCACCCCTGCTGGGCAGCCTGTTAGTGTAAGACAGAGACAAAAGGGAGGATCATTTCCATCTCTCAAATATACTCTCCCATTATATATGCTTTTCTTACCTTCTCTATTTTGCTCTGGCGGCTAAATCCATATCTCCTGCAGGCCACAAAAAAGAGAGTCCGATTACTATTCAAAAATCACATAAAGTTAGTAAAATGCATTTTAGTTGGATTTTTATATGAAAAATGAATTTAGGCTATTTGGTGACTGGAGAAAGTTCTTTAAATATCTACACCACAAACATATTCCACTGTTTTTGAATAAAGGGCCAGCCACCCTATTTGCCATATGAATGAATATTTAAGGGAGAACTCTCAGACAATGTAGAGTGCAATATTCTCTTTAAGTGTAATCGTTACTCTAGAGAGGAACTGCATTTCTGATCCACAGTTTAAGCTAAGAGCCTTAAAAATACCTGTATAAACAAATGTGAATGTATTTGCTGAAGCTAAGCATGTTCTCTAATGCCAACTTTCACACTTTCAGTCCAGCCCATTTTTTATTCTCAAGCATAACTGAAGCATTTTGCCAATAATGTGTTCATGTCACTCACTTTAAAAAATATTCATAAATGCACTTTAGTTTAAATTAGTTTATTTTCTGGCTCTAATTAATATCTACTTGTTTAAAGTAAGTATAACAATGCAAAAACCATTTGACCTAAAACAAAAAGCATGAGGAAAAATACCCAACTTCACTCACTTTTAAATAGTTTACAAGGAAATAAAAGTTACAACATGCAGCCAGTTAAGAAAAACAGATTAAGGGCTTTGGCTCTGCTCTCACTGTGTCAGGCCTCACAGTGAGATGTCTCAGTGTGCTGCCCTCTTAGCTAAACTCCAACCTCACTCTACTCCCACTCTTCTTCCCCATTCTTCTTTTTAAAAATATTTTATTTAGTTTTAGACAGAGGGGATGGGAGGGAGAAAGAGAGGGAGAAAAACACCAATGTGTGGTTGCCTCTCTTGAGCCCGGTACTGGGGACCTGACCCATAACCCAGGCATGTGCCCTGACTGGGAATTGAGCCAGTGACCCTTTGGTTCACAGGCTGGTGTTCAGTCCACTGAGCCACACCAGCCAGGGTTTCTTCCCCATACTTATCCAACTTTCCATTGGCCTGATCTGCACCAATCAACAGCAGGCCTCTTCCCTCAAGACAAAACGACCTCCTGGGCACTCTCATGAGGGCTTCCCTTCTATGGCCCTGCCTAACAACCATTTCACTTCCTGCAGCTCACCTTACATGCTCCAGTGCACCCAGCCTGAAGAGACAGCTTTGCACACACTGGGATGTCTTCTCCCTTTCTATTTTCCTATTCACTCCTCACACTTCAGCTCTAAAGCCACCTTTTCTCCAAAGCATCCTCATGCACAGACACCCTGCCCTAGATGATCCATCCCTATGTCTATGCATGTTCCCCCACTTCCTACATGGCAATCATGTTCTACTACCTATTTGCATGTCTGCATCCTTCTCCTGGAGGGCACTGATGCTATTTTTACATTTGCTATTTCCAATGTGTGTTGAAATAAATAAACTAAAACAAGTGAATGAAAACAAAGAAATCAAGGAGCCAAAAATACCACCTGACCATGCAACGGATTGTCATATAATCAGAGAAACCACTAAGTTAACTGCTGGGCACAACACACTCAACCATTAGGCATAAATCTACAGACCCAAAGTACACAGGGATAAGATGGCAGCCAAGTAGGTGGAAGCCGAGCCCACTTGCTCTTGCCCCCAGTGCGGATATTTAGCTGATCTTTCAACAATCAACAGAATCTTAGCTGATATGAATTTTGAAGCCAAGGAGTAAAGAGGAGGCTTTGCTCCATCCAGTAAGAGATTTTATAAGTTGAAGCGGGGGTACCCTGCATGAGGTCCCTGCAATAGAGGAAAGAGCAGAGGACAGAAAAAGCAGCTTAGTAGCTCTCACCCCTCTTGGAGTGGGGTAGGGGCCCCAGTCCCACACAGGGGATGCCCAACCCTAATCAGGAGACACTTGGGAGGATATAGGGAGTCTGGGAGACTCAGGCTGCATACACAGAGCAAGCAGAATGTCTACAGCTGCAGCACCAACTGGGAGAGTTCAAGAGAGAAATTCTAGCTCCTAAGACTAATTGAGGCACTGGCAGGCTGAGGTCAGACCTGACTGAGAAAGATTTGCCTTTGGGGGAAGTAGAGTGTACAGAGAGCCAGGCAGCAGCTCAGGGTTGCAGTGTGGGTGACACATAGCAACTTTTTTTAAAGAGAGGAGCAGAGGCACGGCTGAGTAGGGAACCCATGCATTTGCACAGCTGCTCTGCCAGCAAAGGGGCTAGATTCAAAATGCAGTTCATGCCTGCTGAACCCAGCTGGCCAGGAAGAGTGGAAGACTGCACACTGCAGGGCTCTATCCAGCATAGCTGGCAATTGGGGTTGGGGAGGGATGCACACAGAACAGAGGGTTTGAGTCTGAAGTCCCTGCAAGAGCAGTGAGCTGGGAACTGGATGGAAAGGAGCTGAGCACCTGAGATTCTTTGTAGCTAGGCAGGGCCATTCAAACTGTGGAGTACAAATTTCTGGGAAGGGGAAAACATCCCAACCCCCACCTGCAGGGGCAGCAAACTCTACACAGCAAGGCCAGGCTCAAAAACCCACTGCTGAGCACATATCCAGAGAGGAAAGAAAGAGAATCTCCAAAGAAGCCCTTCATGAACTTTTATTAGATGTTATGCTGGCTCCTCCTTAGGCCCTATTCCACTGAAAAGAGAAGAGCAGAAAGATCAGAAATTGGTGCAGCAAGAAGTATTCAGGACTATGCCCAGCCTCAGCTCTCACAGAGCTGCCATCAGCACCAAGCAGGAAAGAGCTGACCCTTTTACACAGATTGTCCTCCTCACATGAAACAGGCAGCTAATTAATTAGAAACTATACATTATTGGAAATAATCTGGGACAAACCAAGACATTTGGCATAGGGGCAGGGGAACACACCCATCATTTTACCTAGAGACTGAACAGTGCCTCCTGGGGGGTGATCCTGGGATCCCACCCTCCTGATAGCACCAGAGGCTCCCTCTGGAAGCAGGTGGAGGTGGTAAATGTGCTGTCGGATGTGCTGTCAGATATTAAATGAACCACCCCTGGGCCTTGTGTTGATAAAAAGCCATTAGGGCAGAACAGAAAGCCCCTACTATGGGGCTACCATAGCCCCATGGTAGGGGCTATGACCCTCAGCCAAACCTATGACCCTCAGGCAAACCTGAAGGAGACGGCCACAGACTGTAGATTGCTTATAGCCTTGAACAGGCTGCCTAAAGCTAGACTATGACACCAGCTGACATGAGGAAAGGATCCTGAAGGAAAAGACAGTAGGCCAACAAACACCAGACTCTGCTGAGATGAATTCCACCTCATTCTTTTTCATTATTTGTGCTATTTTTTTCTCCTGCATAGATTTTTAACATTGCTTCTTTGTCTTCAATTAGTTCCTATTTCGCTATTTTTATTTATATATAGGTATTTTTTACTTTTATCCTTTTTTTAAGTTTTAACTCCAATCTCATATTTTACTCTTCCCTCCTCTTACTCCATTTTGTCTTCATCCTTCTCTTTCTTACTGTTTTAAATTTTATTTTTTCCTTTTCTACACCTTGTTTCTATTCCTTACTCTTACTATTACTCCTCCCTCCATACCCTCAAAACCATCTTTCTTTCCACTAGTCATCTTACATTCTTTTCCCTTTCTTATAATATCCTTATTGTAGTTCCACCTTTATTAATAGTTCCTCAGTTGTCATTGATATTAAGGTTATAAATTATTGCATTTATTCAATTTTATCTCTAGTTGTTTACTATTTTTTTAATTTTTAAATCTCATTTTTCACTGTTCCCCTGTCCTAGCCCATTTTGCCTTCCTCCTCTGCCTTACCTTCATTTTAACTTTTATTTTCTCTCTTTCTTAGCCTCATTTCTAATACATACACTTATTGTTTCTCCTCCCTGTATCCTCTCAAAACCATTTTTCTTTCCTTTAGACCCCTCATAATCTTTTTTCTTTCTTATAATACTATCATTCTCTTTCCATCTTTATGAAGCTTGGCTCCTTTGGCATAGATATTGCTGTGGTGGTTGTTTTTCTTCAATTTGGTTCCTATTTTTCCATTATTTTTTTCTACAAACCTCATATTGTACTCTTCCTATGTCTTATTCCAGTTTACCCATTCCCTTCCTATTTTATTTACATTGTAAATTTTATTTTTTCCTTTTCCTTACCTTGTCTGTATTGCCTACTCTTATTTCTCCTTCCCCTACCCTCTCAAAATCATTTTTCTTTCCATTAGTCACCTAATATTCTTTTTTCCTTTCATATAATATTCTTACTCTCTTCCCACCTTTATACATCTTAGCTCATTTGTTGTTGGTATTGTGGTAGTGGTTGAAGGGTATTTTTGCTGGTGTAGGTCTTGACTGCTGGGATATTTTGTTCTGGCAGCTCCTGTACAACAGCATACAAGACATGGTAGGGGCTATGACCCTAAGCCAGCTAGAGGTGAGAACCCACCAGTGAGTGAGCCGCCAACAACCAAAACCCAATTACAACAACAGAGCCCACATAAACTGCATAAAAGGCATCTCTAGAGTATCCACATCAGGAATACAAGGAGACTGCACCACTGAGTCCCACAGGATTCCTACCACAGAAAGCCACTCAATAAAGACAGGGAGTCAAAGCTGATCAATCTAACACACAGAAACAAACAAAAAGAGCCACCTAAAATGCAGAGACAAAGAAACAATCACCAATTGAAAGGAAAGGAGGAATCCTCAGAAAAAGTGCTAAATGAAACTGAGGCAAGCAATTTCTCAGATATAAGAGTTCAAAGTAATGGTTATAAGGATGCTAAAGGAACTCAATGAGAATGACAAGAAACTACATCAGCATGAAAAAGGACATAGAAACTATGAAAAATAACCAGGAGGAAATGAAGAATACAATATCTTAAGTGAAGTATACACTAGAAGGAAATAAACGCAGGCTAGATGAAGCAGAGGATCAAGTCAGCAAATTGAAGGTACACGAAAAAACACCCAGTCAGAGCAACAAAAC